AAGGATCAACAGAAACGGACTTCTATTCTTTCAAAAATCACGTGCAAAAATGGTGGTTATAGGCTTCGCGCACCATAGTCAAATTTACAAAAGAATATGGCAATAAGGTACACAAAATCTGTGAAGAGAATAACTTGTAATCTTTTTGAATGGGAGGGTTTTTTTTGAATGACTGTTCTAGGACCTCTTTGAGTGCTTTGCAAAAAAAAGAACTATGTAAGTGTGCTAAAATTATTCTAGTTTAACTTGAGATAAATTAGCTAGACTTTTGAAATTGGTCAAAGAGCACAGTTTCAAGTAGAATTTTAGAGGGGGCTAAACAAATCAGTTTAGATTTTTATGTTAATTTAAACTATATTATAAAATCACATGATGATGCCTTTTTTTATATGATATTTTTCAGTGTTTCGCATAAATTAAAAAATTAATTTAATTTTACATAGCAGAGAAGGTTGATTATCCAATCAGTAATTCAAAACATCATTATTCTTTCCTGAAAAGCAAATAATTAATTGTTTCCCTTCAATTAAATAAAATAAAAAGCTGTTCATTGTAATCTTGCATTCTAGTAAACAAACAATTGCTTGATGTTAATACTCCAACCTTATGGAGGAATGAATCCATTCTATTCTGAAAACAACATTCAAGTATTGATTAATTGTTTATTGGTAGAAGGTAAGACTTTCTTGACGCAAAATTAAATTTTTGATTGCTGGGAAAACCACCATCATGCGTTGAATTTTATTACCAATATATTTGGACGATTAGCAAATCATTCAACAACTATCAGAACTCTTATTTCAGACGTGACTGGTTGGTGAATCATTCTAGATTTGATACTTGTTTGAAGAATCTTTATGGATTAAAATGTTCTTTTTTAAATGGAATTTGTCTTCTTTACATGACAAGAATGTTGATTACAGTTTAGTCAAAAAAAAAATCAAATTCTTGGCTCAAAAGAATAATCTTGTTTTTTCAGATAATTTCAAGGATGCATCCAAATTCAATAATTGATTATTGGATCCTTTAATCACTCGCTCCCTGCATTTCAAAATTTAAACATTTATCATTAAGGGGCGTTAAAAACAAAAGAAGAAAAATAAAATCAATTTTATTTCCAACACTTGAAATTTGGATTCATTGATTTTTTTTGAGCCTTGTATTTTCGAAATTCTCGACTATTAATATGATCATCAGTATTCATGGGTCAATTGGAAAAGTATTGATTCAACAAAGTGAAACAGATCAGCAGCAGCTAACTCATCTATTCAATAAAAAGTATCAACTCTAACCCGATTTATTCAGATTATATAGCAGGTGGTGGATGATAAAATATTAAAAGCTTTGAATCAATGCCTACCAAAAAAATTTAAAGACCATAATTTTGTATACAGGTTACTATTTCCGATAATTCTTTAGGGAATTCTAGAGAAGAATTGGAAAGGTACTAAACAGCGATGCTTTATATTGAACATTTTTGGAAAGAAGCAAAATATGTGTTATATTAAAAAAATCAAGCAAGATCTAGGATTTATAAATTACGAAATTACTTATTAAATTTATTAAAGTTTTGATGTCATTCCTTTTGCAGTTTCAAAATTCGCAAATTTCACGTTCAAACATGACATAATCTGGATTATTATAAGATTTAATGTCATCATGAGGTGGATTATATAAACAAAGAAATTTTGTGAAATCATAATTTGTCAAATAATAGTTAAATTTATTATAAATCAAATAAATTTCTTTACTGAAAAAAAATACATCAATTTTCTTGATTTTTTAATTTTAATAGGATAATAATAATAATACTAATAATAATAATAATAATAATAGTAATAGTAATAGTAATAGTAATAGTAATAATGAATATGCTTCCACCAGTAACCGTACCAACTTTCCTTCAACCTGTTATTCAATCATGGGTTGCTTGGCTCTCGTTTACATTTATTGCAATTCCGGTTTCTACCTTTTTCTTGATTTGGGATTTCCCAAAATCTATTTGGCGATTGCTCTTCTCTGATTATCCTAAAGTTGTTCTGATTACTGGTGCAAAGTAAAAAAAAATTAGTTTAATTAAGTTACGTGTGTGTGTTTTGTTTTATTATTAATTAACGTTTATTTATAATAATACGATAATTAGTTCTGGTATCGGAGCAGAACTTGCACTTGCCTATGCAAGACCAAACACTACTATTGGACTTATTGCTCGTGATAAAGGCACAAATATATTTAACTTGATTCAATAAAAATTTTGTCTTTCTGAAATATAATTTTATTGATTTGTTCTTTTTTTTAAAAAAATAATCATAGATCGTTTAAACAATGTAGCAACAGCCTGCAAAAAAAAAAGGTGCAACTATTCGCGTAATGTCTTGTGATATTACTAATCTGGAAGATTTAAATAGAAACATCGATGAGTTTGATGAAGCTAATCCGATTGAACTATTGATTGCAAATGCAGGTAAATATATCAATTTATTCATTTTAAAAAGAAATTATTGAATACGCGCGTACGAATAAAAATTGATTATTGATTGACTAATTAATAAATAGCCCAAATTGGCATTACAACTGATCAAGAATTATCCGATCAATGGGAAGATTTATGGCATAGGTATCGATCATTGCATTTTGAAAATATTGTCTAATATGATTAATATACAAATTCTAATGCTGTTTAATTTTTATTGTTAGGTATTTTGAGGTGAACGTCGTAGGTACATTGGCAACAGTTATGACAACATATAAAAAAATGCGTGACAGGGGAAAAGGTCAAATTGCAAGTAAGAAATGTTTTTTGATCATAATTTTTTTCTTTTACACAAAAATATATTTTAAAAAACCAAAAATGTTTATGTATATAAAAACATACAAGTTACTTCATCAATTGGCGGACATTTTTCAATGCCACAAATGATCTTTTACAATTCAACCAAAGCAGCGCTGATTTCTTTTGCACGCGACCTTCGTTATTTGGCTGCACGAAGTAATATAAAAATCAATCTTATCACACCAGGACTAATTGATACCAGTGATCCAAGACAACCAGTTCAACTTCCAAGAATTTTCAAATCATCTCCTAGATCATTGGCAAAAATTATTCAATGGCAATTGCTTGAAAATCGATTTGAAATTACTTGGCCTTTCGTTGAATATTTGCCGGCCTATGCAACTAGTATTTTACCACCTAGGGTTTTGGAATTGGCTACTTATATATTTGGAGTAGTTACCGGGTTCATTACTGGTACTGGTAATGTTGCTTGGACATAAGAAAAAGTTTTGTTTGGTTGAGATGAATTATTATTATTTTTTCATTTATAAAAATATTCACACATATAGATATATGTGTGTGTTTTATTGCTGTTGATTATTAATTAAGAATTTTTACAAATTTTATTGCTTTCTATGATAAATAAATAAATAAAATTTTTTCACCGTAAAGTTTTTTTTGTTATATTCCTAAATAATGAAATAAAAATTATGAACGATCCTTTTTCACTCGATTGCAAATAAATTTATTGGGAACATCATATAATGAATAACCAGTTATTTTAAACCTTCCCAGATATTTTTATATTGTGTTACGAATTGACTGGTGTTGTAACGAGAGGCTTAGAACAGACTTGATGCACAGCAACGGCAATGGATCCTGAGGTTTTATAGCAGTACAGTTAATACATTCTATGCTTTGATACGATAATCCTAAGGGATTGTGCAAGCCTAGTGTACCATATACAATACAAGTCTGTGAGGAACTATCTTGAAATTAAAAAAATATCTTTGGATTAGTCACCTGATTGTACTACCTTACATTTTTTTTTAAAGGAGTAATTTTTATTGTCAATGTAATGATAATAGATAACCTTATTATTATCATAATATTTATTATAAATTGCAAAAAAGAAAAAAACTCAATCCATTATTCTCATATATATATGAAATTTCTTTGCCTCTAAAGTATTGTTTTTTTAAAAAATTGCTTATCTTAACCATCAACAGATGTTAAAAGGTATGATGATGATTCATTTGCTCTTTTGGTTTTGATGACACTCTGCACATTCAAAGGAGAACAAGTGGCTTTGTAAGCTATGCCATTTAGTAACAAGATACTTTTTTTGACAATAATAATTGTCGTAATGATTAATGATAAATAAATAAATAAATACACAGCCATTCAAAAAAAATAATTTTTTCTCTCAAGAAAAAAAAACCCCCAACACTGTAATAAATAACAAATAAATTTTATTATCCATGGAATGTATTGAAGATGATGATTGCGAATTTTACAATGACGATGTAATATGTTTAGAAGGAGAATGTGTTTTTAAATGTTCAAGGGACAAAGATTGTTTTCCAGAAGGCAAATGTATATATGAAATATGCAATTGGAATGATAAAAAAACCCCAAATTCACAGTCTTTAGATTCATGGTTGAAAATAGAAGCAGATCCAATAGCAACAACAATTACTGCACCTGTAACTGCTACATCAATTACATCCACCGGCATTACCACATCAGTTAGTAGTATAAATTCAAGTAATAATACTACTACCAATTCTACTAGTGACAGTAATACTAATAATAGTTTGGCGTTGAATGCACCGTTTGCAAAAACAATTTTGGGAATTACTATCAGCGTTCTATTGATCGGTGTAATATTTATTATAATTTGCATTTATAAAAGACGACGAAAAGAAAGTATGCATCGTGGATTAAGACCTTTGAAATTATCACATACAAGAACCAGCAGCAGCAGTAGTTTGGATGGAAGCCGTCGTCGTAGTGGATCAAAAAGTAATATTATAGGTGAAACTACTACTGCCACATCACTATAAAAACTAAATCTACCATTATAACTATTATAATTACAATCGCAATTTACGTCATAACAATTACATTGCTAACAAAAATTGGAGGAAAAAAATACACATGTGAGAAAAATTATGAAGAAGAGGATGATGACGACTAAAGCATTCTTCATTAAAACATGATCGCAAACAATGTTTTTATAAAATATATGTTGTTTTTTTTTTGTACATTATTAATTACGTCGAAAATTAAATATTTAATATAAAATGGAAACTAACAAAAACTATTTATAATTATAATTATTCTTTATATTTTTTTATTTTTTTACTATGTAAGATTTATATTCATAGAATTCATTAAAACTTTTGAAAATCACGTCTTCAATTTCTTCCGATTTATTTAAAGTAGATGTGAAATATGGTTTCAATGTTTCTCCAAATTCTTTCAAACAAAAAAAACCATCAATGAAATTTATAATTATTATTTTTAAAAATTTTTTCACTAAACTTCCAATAAATAATTACCTAATGGAAAACCTCAAATACCTTTTCGATTTCATTCCGCAAAAAAATCCACACACACAAAAGGCCCTCCATAAACATACGTTCATTACAAAGTATTTTTGCACGAATGGACCGATTGATTGTAAATTTTATCCATTCACCAGGTTTAGTGACACATAAAATTTTGTAGATGATTAATTAACTTTAATAAAGGCCATGCTTTGTAGCTGTTCACTTTTAAAAATCAAGAAATTCCGCGCCAACAAATGATGAATCTGGTAGGTTTCTGCCATATTCATCAACCAACAGGTCTAATTATGTAGATAATTATTGATTATCTAATTAATAATAAATTAATAATAAAATTACCTGATACCTAATGCACATAAGCGACTATATTGGAATTGACTTTAGACGGGAGCCGAGAATTTTCCTTCCCATGCATGTTCATGAATTATTTCTTCGACTTACATATTTCCCAACGACTAATTTTAAAAAAATAATGATTTTTTGTAAAAAATCACTTGGGTTTTCAATATTTATGTAGAGGGATGTGCTTATTTTTTGTTGTATTTTGCAGTGATTTTAAGTATTAAAGGTGGCTGTGCAATATTAAAGCTGGCTTCTTTTTTACCTTTGCATCATTATTCATATTAATAAAAAGAAAATATATGGCCTCACAAAATAATATGGAAAAACAGTATGTTTAAAAATACTACTAATATTAATAACTGTTTTTCTCAAAGATGTCATAAACTTTTTAGTGTTACATAATATAAAAAAGTATATGTACATATTAAAATTATAATTAATTATTAGAATAATAAAAATCATGTATTTACAAAAAAAAATAATTAAAAAAATAAATATTAAGTAAAAATGGCTCTCTTTCCTAACTCAAATTTATCAATAACTTTATTATTAATATCATAAACTACCCAAATCAATTTATCAGACCAAATTTCAATCAACACGTAATGATGAATTTTTTTAACAATTGAATAAATTTTCCAATCTTCAACTCTCTCATAATCTAATTCGCCACCTGCACCACCAATTATGGTGTAAACAGTACCATCGAATTGACCACGTTGGTAATTATGTTGATGTCCACTTATCACCAAATCAACTTCATATCTTTGAAATAGAGGTACATACCTCTTCCTAACAAAATCACCCCAATATTTTTCTGATTTCTCATTCCAGGATTTTGGATCCCAAAATTCAACAAATGGTGGTATATGTACCACCACAATACGAAACTTGGCCAATTTTGATTCGATTGATGACAACTCTTTTATCAACCATTTATCTTGTAACTCATCATCAATATTACTATCCAATACTATCCAACGTGTATTTGCTATAGTGAATGAATACCATAATTTATTTGTTGTGTAATGGTAATTTAACAATGGATTAAAATCATGGTTACCATGAGCAAAAATCATTGGTGATTTTTGGATTAATTTATAATTGATTAATGGATCAAAAAAATCAGTTTGCCATTGCTGTAAACTATCAAATTTCTGTACAGGATCACCAACATGTAATATAAAGTTAGGTTGATTGTGCAGTATTGATGCTGATTTAACAATTTTATTAAATGTTTTTAAATTATATTGATTATCAGAAAATCCCAATATTTTTATAGGATATATTGATGATAGTGATGACGATGAAAGTGTCAATGATGGTGGTGCTAATGGTGTTAATGGCAGTAGTGGTAGTGATAGTAAGTTTAGTATAAAAAGTGTAGCAAAATTTAAGAAAACAATATCAGGTGATGAGTACAGTTTAAAAAAAGAACGATATGAATTTGAAGTGTTTCAACTTTTGTCTTCATCACGAGATGATAGTGATGATGATGATTATAATGATATTGAAGACAACTATCAAGAAGATGATAATATTAATAGTATTAGTAATAGTAATAATCAAATAACATTATCAAATCATAAATTAACGTTAAAAACAATGAAAGAATTTGAAATCTTATTACCAAATCCTAAAGGAGCAGATGGTGGTTTGACATTATCAAAAAGAAAACCAGATCGTTACTTTAATGTGCAGCTTAATTACAATCTGTCCAATACTAAAAATAAAATTAATAATGGTGTCGATAAAGAGGGTAAAAGTGATAATATGTTGTCAAAAATACCCGAACATCCACCAGAAATATATATTGAAAGAAAAATCGTAACACCATATCAAGAAATCAGGCAAGAATATATGAAATGTTATGAAGCTGAACATAATAAATATTTAGAGAAGTTAGAAAAGAAATGGAAGATTAGTAGATGGAATAAAAGATTTAAAAAACATGTTAAAGAAGAGAAAAAAGAAATGAAGAAATGGCGCAAAGAATTTCAAAATGCTGTAATGAACTCACAAAAAGAATTTTATGAGAAACTTGGAGAACTTAAATTGGAGGGGAAGGAAGTTAAAAAGGAAGAGGAGGATGATACTAATACTTGGCTAGAAAATTTAAAACGTAAATTGGATGATGATGATGATGATCATAGTAATGATGATGATGATGATGGATTTGAACAATTATTAAATCTAAAGAAAAATCAAGAAAAGAAACGGGTTAGAAAGGAAAAGGAAGAGCAAACAAAAGCATTAGAAACTTGGAGACTTGAATATTCTGGTCTACCTAGATATAAACCACCAGAAACATGGTGGGCAAAAAATAGAGATAAGATCATGAAGGAAGCCATGAAGAAAATTCCACCAAAGAAGCAAAAATAAATCTCAATGCTAAATCAATCAAAAACAAAATAAACAGCAAGTATATACTTTTAAATATTTTATTTTATAATTTACATTTATATAAATTTTTTTTTCAGATATTCAAAATGTTATATTAAAGTTGTGAAGAAAATTAATGAGAAACCAAATTATGTAGATAAGTAATAATACAATTAAAATTGGTAGATTTTCAGGTGGCAGATTAGACGATTTTGCAGTTAGAAAAACATTAAGATAGATGCAAGAAAATTGTTACTAAAAAAAATATATTATTAAATTATTTATTTAAATTTTTTTATTAATAATTTTTACATAATTACGTTGTGATCTTGATCCTTTTCCACCACCAAGAATGACATTGGAGGAGCAATCATTTATATTTGTATTAATATAGTTTTTAACTATCATTATTTTTATTAAGGTAATAATAATTAGTTTAATTTGATTTTGAATATATATCAGTCAGACAAGATTTCACGCTTACTGATTTTACTATGTGATCGACATAGCACGTTTTCCGTACAATTTTTATGCTTCTAAATAAATAGAATCTTGTGCTTTTGCTCGTTTAAATTCAATTTTTTACTTGTCAATAGCTTGTTTCGTTATAGCGCAATAACTTCCCAAAGAGACCCATACTTTTTGACTTTAAAGGCCTAATTATTTATGAAAAACGATTCTATTAAGATCATTTTAGCATCATAAGATAGAGTACATTGAGAGCTCTCAGAAAATATATGGTTCATTTGGTTTTCTTGGAGGTGGAAGAAATTAAAGGCAAAAAACAATTTTATAAGTTATTTATGACTATTTTATATTAGTATTAAATTTTTTTTTAATTAGATCATTATACTAATTTTATTGAATTATCTAATTTAGATAGAATACATTGAAGTAATTAAAAGCAATAATTCAATGTAATTTTATTTTTGTTTTCTTTTTACATTATTATACCAATAATCCCTAACTTTAGTAGATGACCATGAATTATTTATTTTAAATAGATTTTCAAATAATCTTTTTGCTACTTCCTTTGGTAAGTCTGTAGGATGATCAAACACTTCTTGAAGAATTTCAAGTTCCTCATTTGTTTTTTTGTGTCTCTTATATTTTAATGAAGAAGTTTCAACCTCATCAATTGGTGCAACTGTTATGTCTGAAACCAGAGTGGGTAAATTGTCTCCAACTTCTATCTCTTCGTTTGATTTACCTTTGTTGATTTCTTTGATGAGTTTATTATGTTCTTTAACTTTCACAAAAGCAACATCTTTACTTTGTCTACCAATAGTGGAACGTGGTATTTTTTTGTAAACTTCCTGATATAATAGATCATTAAGGCGTTTTAGGCCTTTTTCATAACATTTGAACATATTATTAAAGCCATCATCATTCATTTCTTTTGTATATTTAAAAAAATTATGTTCTTTAGGATCTGGAAGATCGAAGGCCTTGGTTAATTCATCAACAACAGACCATAAAACATCTCTTCGTTGTATTTTTGCTCGCTCTCTTTTGTGAATGGTGTTTTTTTGAATAAATTCTGAAATAAGTGGCTCCAGGCATTCTTGTTCAGTTTGGACTGATTGAATTTGCAACATGAGATTATCAGAATCTGTAGGCCGACCGGTAAGATTTTGTTTTATGAACTTAACACCATAATATTCAAGTGCTTCATCAAAAGCAAAATAATGACCTTCTCTTGTTAAGTTTACTGAACATACATGTTTCAATAATTCTTTCTGTCCAATATTTCTTTGAACTGACTCTAGGAAAAACACAACTGATTGAGCATAGTTGGATTTCCCAGATATTGGAAATAGTGGAGCAAATGCAGCTAAATTATTTATTTGCATCTCAAAATTTCCCATACGTATCCCTAATTGATGGGCTTTCCAAAATCCAGATAAGCGGAAATACAATAACCATATTTTTAAAACATTATTATTTCCATTGGGAATATCACTGATTGTTATATTTTTACTCATCACATATTTATAAATAGATATTCCAACAGCAGCCCAAATAAGTTCCAAAACAGAACTTGTGGCTCTATAATCAACATTATCTACAAGTGCATCCAAAAAACAAACACCAAGTGCAGCAGCTATGTTGTAAAAACCATATCCACTAAAAGCAGTTATTAAAGCATTACACATGGCTTTGGACGTGTGCCACTGGCCTAAAATAAATCTACCAGTTAAGTTTTCATTGGAATAATTTCTTGTTCTCCTGAAGATTGATTCATCACAAACTAAGTCTATAACATTTTGTTTAAGATCATCAATATACATATCTATTGAATCAAAGACTGCTTTATCATTTTTAGGTGCTTCACCTGGCTTAAGAATCACAACATTTGGAGGTGGAATTTTGCAACCCAATTCAACTTTTGAGGCAATCTCTCTATGGATATCCTGAAAATCAAAATCATTTCCATGAGTTTTAAGAAAGTTTTGAAAAATCATACCAACTTTATTTTCCCACTCTTCAGTAAAAGTTGATGTTCCAAATAACTTCAGTTCCAAAGTATCTTGTTGGTAATTTTGCAAAAATGTAGCAACAGGTAAAGGAAGCTGAAATTGGAAGACCATTCTGAGAATCGAGAAATCTTCCCTTCTGAGTTGTAATTATCAATTATAACACATGGTGATAGCTTTGTTGGATTAGCATCAGGTATAACAAAGTCTCCTTCGTCACCACTATTATTGAGTATATGAAAATCCTCATCACTTCCCTCCTCATCATCACTTTCCCCTTTGCCATCTTGTATATCTTGAAGATTCTGTAAACCAAATATAGTTTTTGCAGTTTCCAGAGCTGATTCATCTAACACAAATACTCTAGAATCATCATCTTCATCACATTCATCCTCTGATCCCTTTTCTTTTTCAACTAAATTATAATTTACTTCTTCCATCAACTCAATTTCTTTCTCATCTAAATTTAAGTTTTCTTGAGTCAATTCCATTTTATTCTTATATGATTTTAATAACAAATTTACAGCAAGAGAGGTGGAGATGATTAAAATGTAAAGATTATGGATAAAAAATTATGGAAGATAGGTAATTAAAAAAAATATATGATTGCAAGAGATAAAATATTTATTTATTAATAATTATTATAATGATTAAAATGATTAAAAACAGATTTATAAGAATATTATTATATGATTATATCATATTTATATTTAAAATGACAATGTACTTAATTCCTTTATCTGCTAAAGAAAGACTTCATTAATAATCAATCATTAAAAAATAATAATAAATAATAATAAATAATAATAATAATAATAGCTTATATTTTCTTTCTTCTGCGATTGTCACTGTTATTAGTAATTATAAATATTATATTACACAATTAAAAGAAAAAAAAATATTAAATTACAAAGAGAATTTATTTTCATTATTTATATCATATATTTTTCTTAATACTAAAAATGTATTCAACATACATTAATTCCTTA